GGAACAAAATTTCAAACCTGCGTGTCAACCCTGGTTGCTGTTTCCTTTCGATGCGTTCAAGTTTTCTGCTGATTTCAGCCAGTTTCTCGTTTATACGCCAGACCTAAGCGAATAATACTGAACGATGTAAATCAGGGAAAGTTGAGAACAAAAGCCGTTTTTATGCTATTTCTTTGTTTTGCTGGTCATATGTTTTACTACGGGAATGTCCGGGCATCTCCATGCGAGCGGGTTGTTAGCAATGGAGCATGCCTATCAGCTGTTTATCCTATCAGCCTGTCAACAGTCAAATACTCCATTGCTAATAAATCCTTCGCAAATGAGAGGTGCCCAGATTTCTTTGCTTGACTATAGCATTTCCAAACATATATAATTCACTCTAGATGAGAGACATATCAATAACACCAATCATAACAACCTGTGGAGAAGATTCCATCTTATCTGGCTTCAAACAACATAGAAGACGACACGCGCTTCCACAACCAAGAGACCAGTCACCATCCACCTAAGGGAGCGATTTTTTCAGAACGGAATACATTCCCAATGCTTTCCTTACCTCTCCTTCTCCTCCTTTCTCCATGAAATCCATGTGATGTGTCTTTCTTCGTTTAGCTGCCAAGTCATTCTTCTCTTGCGGTCGTGGATCTTCGCGAGTTCCCCAAGAGACCTGTAAGAAGATAGTACAGTATAGCGCTGTAATCTAGAATTCCACTTACTGTATTGAGGTTGCAGATGGAGTAGATAGGCAAAAGCATGTACATGGATGGAATAGCGAGGAAGTACAGTATACCGGGAATAATGCATGTGAATTCCAATGGATGGAGGATGGCTGCAGTGATGAAACTGGAAAAACGTTGTGAGTTTTATCACTACTGCCATGACTTGTGGCGGAATTCTAGTAACTGTAAAAGCATCCTTAAAGGGCTGAAAACTATTCAAGGATCAATCCGTAAAGCTTAACAATCGAGAATAGTGCAATGATAAACAAAAAGTTCTTCTATTCAAAATTGCCTATGTATTTATTTCTACTACTGCTCGTGAGCTTTCTAAAAGCTATCCACATAATTAACTAGATTTGTTAGCATTATTCTATTCAACAAAAAAAAATCCTGACGAAAATCTACGTAAGCCTAATCACATTAAGATCAATTAATACTTAAAGGAATAGTTTTGGGATAAAAAACCTGAAAACAATAAGCAAATCGCACCTTCCCATGACCGAAAACAAGAAAATTGAATGCGGTGAGAGGATACCATCCTTCTGTATCTGCAGCGAAGTACCAACTATTACAGCAGTCATCAGCATTGCGAACAAAGCACTGACGATTTGCGCAAAGAGTAACTAAAAGAGTGCACAATAAGTTTTTGACAGTTTTTGTAATTTTGCTTTTCTCTTAAGATTTTTCGCAATAGAATACTTATGTTTACCTGTTTTTCCGGCTTTGCCACGAGGCACACTACGCAAAACGAAGCAACTGGCACTGAGACAATCAACAGACTCCAAGTAGTGTCAATGTTGAACGAGATGGAGATAGCACCGACAACCATAAGGAAAATCGTTCCCGGACCAAGGATTGAGGAGATTAGCATCACAGTTTGATAGATGATGTACCTGTAGCCAACTAGGTACTGCTCCAACTATTGACTCTATAAGAATAGAATCCTACCAGATCGATATGCTTTCGTTCACTCGAACAACGTTCTTGTAATCTTTAAGCAAATCAATGATGTTGGCGATAGTTGACGGAATCCAACGTCTCCTTTGGTTGAAGAACTCATTAAATCCTTCTGGAG